GCCTTGTTGAGATCGGTGTAGTCCACGCACATGCGGAAGGTAGGGGGCTTCTGTGCGAGGACTACGTTGGCCAGCCATGAGGGATATTTCACCTCCTTGATGTGCTTAATAGAGAGGAGCATGGCGACCTCCTTCTTCACAAATTCCCTCCTTTCGACGGAGAGGGGTCTTCTTCGTTGTTGTACTGCTTTTGCCGAGGGGTCCACCGAGAGGCGGTGGGTGATGACCCTTCGGCTGATTCCCGGCATGTCCTCCGGCCCCCATGCAAAGACAGTGGAGTAGGCGCGGAGGGCGTCGATGATACCGGTCTTCAGATCTTCAGGGAGCTGGGCTCCAATCTTCACGACTCTCTCCGGCTGGGCCGGATCAAGCGCAAAGTCTTCTACGTCCTCGGCTGGTTCAGCCCTCGGCCTTTTTTCTTCCTGGTCGATGGTTCCAGTGATGGTGTCAACACGGAATCCCGTCTTACTTACCTTCTTGGTGACTTGAAGATAGCAGGCGCGAACGATTTTCTGATTCTCCCGGGAGTAGCCAATGCCCCCTCGGCGGGAAACTTGAGGCAGAGGTGCCTCATGGAGATGATGGCCTCGAGGTCCTCGAGGGCTGGCCGGCCGAGGATGATGTTGTGGGCGCAGTCGATGTTGACGACGATGAACTCCACTTCGAGCTGGGCTCTATGGAACCCGTCACCGAAGATCACCGAGAGGGTTATTACCCCCTCGGAATCAATAGTATCGCCGGTGAAGCCGGCAAGAGGGGTCTTAATGGGCCGAAGGGACCCCCTTCTCCAGATGCAGCTCTCTGAAGGTGCTGAGGTACATTACATTGACGGAGCTGCCCGTGTCAATGTAAGTTCGGTGAATGATGGTGTCGTTTATTTCAGTCCGAATCACCAAGGCATCCCTGTGAGGAGAAGAAGTAGGAGGGAGATCTGCGTTGGTGAAGGTGATGGGTTCCTCCCTCAGTCGCTTTACCGGGGGCATATGAGTGACTTCCCCCACGTAAAGCGATTGAGCCCACTTCTTCCGCTGGCTGGTGGAATCGCCCCCTGTATTGCCGCCGGTGATCATGAGGATGTGGCGTTTTTTCTCCTGGTAGTGGGGGTACTCCTCCCCTCCTCTTCCTCCTCCAAGTTTACGATCTCCCTCTTCTTGCCGAGGGGGATGGTGTTCGGGTTCACCCAAGCGTTCACCTTCGTGTGATGCCCTCGGGGAGGTCCCTGATGAGAAGGTCCCTCCTGCCGAGGGCTCTGAACAAATTGGGACAGGTGCCCCGCTTGTATCAATCTCTCGATGGCCGTTTTTAGGTGGTGACAGTCATCGGTCATGTGCCCCTGATGCCGATGGAAACGACAGTAGGGAAACTGAGGGTTGATAGCATGTACCTCCGGGGGCGCGCGAGAATCGAGCTCAACGAGGCCCCTCTCCTCGGCAAAATCAAGGATGATGCTGACGGGGTGCGTCAATGGTGTCCGCGGGCGGTCCAGGAGAATGGGCTGTGCCCAAGTCTTAGGGTTGTTCTTATAACCTCCCTCGGGCTTGGCTTGGCCTTGCCGAGGGCGATTATCAGAGGGTCCCGAAGACTTGGGGTGATTTGGAGGAGCCCCCGGCCCTCGGTTATTCTTGTTGCCAGCTCTCGGGGGCTGCTGATCCGGATGCTGGTGGTATTTTTCCACCTCCTCGGCCTCAGCGTATCGGTCCCCCCGCTGCAGGGCCCTTATGTAGTCGCGGGGGGGTTCAATGATGAGGCTCCTTGAAAAGTTGGCGGTGCGGAGGACGGTTTGTAGGAGGGCCAGGAGGGTCCCGTCATCAGCACCGTCGACTTTGTCGGCTTCCGTCCTCCAGCGCTCCAGGAAGTCCCGAAGGGTCTCATCCCTCCTCTGGCGTATGGTTAGGAGGTGAGAGAAGTGCTTTCTCGTGCGTCGTCTCCCGGCAAATTGCGTCAAGAATCGCTGGGCGAGTTCTTGCCACGAATCAATGCAGCCCTCGGGCAGCCGGTTGAACCATTCGTATGCCGGCCCCTCTAAGGTGGAGAGGAACCAACGACACAAATATTCGTCTGACGCCCCCACCATCATCATGCTGTTCTGGTATTTGTTGTAGTGTTCCTGGGGGTCTGTCTTCCCATTGTAGGGTTGTATGTGTTGCCCTCGGTATTTTTCCGGGATCCGGGCCGTCAATACCCTTGGGGTAAATGGCGTCCGGGTCCGGAGCTGGATGACGGGTTCCCCGGAGCCCTTGGCCACCTTCTTCTGTAATTCCTCCATTTTGGCCATCATGGCCTCGTATTTGAGGTCTGAATGAGGGGTGGAGGTGGTGGCGTGAGCTTTGTTGGCCTCCATTTCATCAAGCCGGCGTTGGAGGGCCGCAATAATTTCGTCCCGGGGATCCTTCGGGAGGGTCTCCGCCCCCTGCGAACGAACCCGGGCCGAATGGGCCTGGTTGATTTGGTGGCGAGCATCATCGGCATGAAGGGGTGCCTTGCCTTTGTCCCGAGGGGGACGCTCCTCGTCTGCCCTCGAGACAGACCCTCCACTTTCCTGGGGCCTTTGGAGTGCTTTCCCTCCGAGGCGGTCTTGGACCCCTCGGCGGTCTGGCCCTCCTCCGAGCCGGTTGAGGGCGGAAGTGCGGGGCCTTTTTCTGTTGTCATTGTGGCGGTCCCGGGACTGAACTTCCTGGGAGGACGTATCTTGGGCCACTACCCCTTCGTCGTTCCTAACCCGAGGGGTGGGGTTTCCGAAGGGGTGTGGCAGTGGGGGAAGTATGATGTTCTCCCCAACCTGGGGTTGAGCCGGAGCCAGGGTGCCGAAGGCACCTGGGTTCTGAGTGAGCGTCTGGATGAAGGCGGAGAGCGCCGAATGAACGTCGATGGTGAGAACCGGAGGGCTGACTTGGTCATCGCTCCGGTTTTTCTTCTTGGCCTCGATGCCGAGGCGGGCATCAGGGGCATTCTGTTGGATCTGAAGGCGTAGGTCGACAGCCGCCTGTTCCAGCCCAGCGATGACACTGCCCTCGGGAGCCCTGTGAGAGGCTTCGGGGGCGTTGACGTCGCCGAGGGCCAGGTTCTTGTCTTCTACGTTTTTGGAGTTGGCACGTGTTGTTCTCACCATTTTGGCAGAGGGCTAGTGTTTGGCGAAGGGGGAGGGTTTCTTACTCGATTGTTCGACCTCTCAACGAGAGCACCAAATGATGGATAGTGTACCCGGGGGGTAGCTTATCCGAGGGGTTATTGCTGAGAATAACTTAGAGAGAAGTCAGAGCACAAGTAAGTAAGAGAGAGAGTGTATTCAGTATGAATGTCGTGGTTTACAACGGGAAAAGGGGGTGCTATTTATAGTAGCAATAAATGCCGGACAGGGACACGTGTCAAGCATCCATTGGCCGAGAGGTCACCTCATCCGGTTGGCGCTGGCAAACGCATGTGGCCGCATTTAATGCGGCTGTTGGATGGGACGTTGTACAGGGTACGGTGATCTGTACGCATGTAACGCGGATATCATGTCGGGAGAGATGCCCTCGGCTGCAGAGGACTAGCCGAGGGCTCCTAGTGCCGAGGACCTCTGAGTGCCGAGGGCTCCAGGTGCCGAGGGCTACTATTTTCACCGTTTTCTCCCAGTTCCTCTGCTTGTTCGAAATATCCACGCTGTGATAGTTTGGAGCCTTCGGCCAGGGGGCCGAAGGCACCCCTGGTGCGTATTGCGGGCTGCTTGGTACTCTGGGCGCCGTGATTTGGGCCTGCTTGAGCTTCCTGGGCCGGTTGGGTCCTTCATTGGTGTAGTAGGAGTCTATGGGCCGGGTGTTCCCGGGCCATATACTCCATCATCCTGACTAATGAATAAAATGTTTTGCTATGTTTTTGTTGATTTCTATATTTTAGAGTTGTGGTTTTGGTCCGACATCTTCTTTGACCGCAAGTTATGTCCGTTTCATGTGAGTGTGTTTAATATTTCTCCCTGCAATGTCTAAAGGTTGCGTCTTCCTTGTCGGTGTAACCGACCGAGTGGATCATAATTTAAGGTTGGGAAGACAAATTCAACCTAGTTCTTCTGAAGTTTCAATTAATCGATCTCCTCCTAAACCACCATCTCACTCAAAAAAGAAGAAGATAGCGCTCAACTGGATCTCATTTACGGTGACCGGTCAAATTGATGATCCGAACAATTTCTGCTTAAACCAATTCTCCCTTTCCGGAGGCTAGTGAAACCAAGTCTTTTAGTTGTAATTTTTTATTTTCTCTAAGCAGTAACAAAGCTATTAAATTAGTCTACACCATTGTGGGGTTAGCAATTTGAAAGGATTCATTGGATCTTTTTCATGCTATGTCACATCCCATTATAGTCGTAGACTTATTCATTCTCTTGTATATTTGTTATTTTTTAATAATAAATTAAATATTGGTTTTTCAAAAAAATAAAGTTTTTTAGGACAAAAATAGGACTCCGTAACATTTTAGTTTATCACAATAACATACTCGGCCATAAACACATTCATCGGCGAAGCAAAAAATGACAGGTTAGAGAGGTCGGGAGTCGGCACTTGAATTTATACAGCGGAAACCAAAATTAAATTTTCACTATATTTTTTACCACTTCTAATTATTTATATATGTATATACATCACAATAGGTTTAATGCACCAAACCCCTCTATGATACGGAAATTTGTTACATTAGCTCTCTGTGATTTAAAAAATGCATCAAACCCCCTTGTGTTTTAATTAATCATGCACATAATTCCTTTTATGAATAAATTTAACAATTTCAAAACAACTTTTCCTAATGTTCTGATTGAATATGCAAGTAAATATGTCAAAATCTCTAAATCATAAAAAAATGTTAATCATTTTTCTTTTATTTGACAATCGAATTTATTCATAAAAGGGGTTCTGTGCATTATTAATTAAAACACAGGGAAGTTTGACGCATTTTTTAAATCACAATGGGTTAATGCGTCAATTTCTATATTATAGAGAGGTTTGGTGCATTAAACCCTAAAAAATAGTGTGCATATAAAAATAGAGAACTGAATGGGGTGAAAAACATAGTTCTTTAAGTATCATATCTTGTTCAATGTTCAATTGTAGAACAATTTATGTGCTATTCTAATAAAGTAAAGAAATGGACACAATTAAAGATATAGATTCAACCGATTATTTATTCAACAAGAAAGAAATTAATTTACACTATCCATACAGTTATATACTCCCTAGTTTCACAGCATATGCTGCATTTCATCATCAAAGGAAGGGGTGGCAGAAGCCATGGCAGTATCAGTAATACGGAGCCCAGTATCGTAAATTTCCCCGCTTCTCCAATCCTCCGGCATCACCTTTCTCGCCCAATACCACTTTCCTTCCACCCCGGAAGTTACCACGACCCGGAACTGCAGCGGCCCGCCCGGAACTCTGTTCGTTTCCCAAATTGCCCCTCCTTCGTCTTTCCTGCTGCTCATGAAGTTCCAGTTCTGAGACCCCACCTGCGCGACGTCGACGGCGACGATTTCGGTCTGGTCGCCCATGTTCAGGAACCGGATTGCTAGGTAACTCGGCGACTGGCTGGATTCCTCGACCCGGATTGCGAGGTTCTGGGTATTTTGACCCGAAGAAGTAGAAGCGGAGTATGATAGGACGATTAGGAGGATGAGGAGGTAGGATTTGACAATAGCGGCCATTTGTAGGGGATTTTTGAGAGATATTGTTAATATGATTTGATGGAGAAGGTGATGAAGAAGGGAAAGAGAGAACTGTTATGGATTGGCGGATGGAAGGAGGTTTTTGAATAAATAGAAAGAAACTGCGCTGCAACGGCCATCATTAACCGACGCACCTTTTTGCTTTGGTTGCGTCGTTTGAAACAATAAATAAATGCCCCATATAAAATACGGAGTATAATACACATCTGCCCGTGATCTTTGTGCTTTTTTCCATAGATCACATAAATAGAATAAATCAAGCTTAAACAAATCACATTTAATTAGATGAGATCATATTTTACTTAAATATATCCAAGTAGATCAGATTTAAACAAATCAGAATAGATCAGATATGACTTCGATAGTTATAAAATACACATAGACAGACTTAACCAAACAAAATCAGACCAGATCAGACTAGATCTGACCAAACCAAAAAATTTCGATCTAATTGAAAATATCCTAAATCTATTATAATATCTGCTCACCATAATGTAAGTATACTTGATTGGGATGAGGATCGAACCTGCGAACTCATGTTTAGACGATTAACAAATGATGTCATCAAACCACAAGTTAATAGATAAAAAATAAAAGTTGCAGAGTATTAGATGATAATAAAAATGGCTTGAATCACAAATTTTTTGATTAAAAAGAGAAAAGGGGCAAATAAGCTATCTAACTATTAGTGACTCTAAGAGCTATGCAGCGTCGTTCTGAGCCTGCGTTTGGGAAGGGGAATTTTCCATGGTGCACGTCCTGTTTGGAAGTCATCCGATTGGCGCTGGCTTGGAGATTGGGTGCAATTCTTTCACGCTCTTTCCCTCACGTTAGGGTGTAGTTTTCTCCGTTTTAGGCTTGTGTGGCCAGAGAATTTTAGTATTGCGCATCGCGCATGCTTTGATTTTATTTGCAGGCTCGTCTTCAACTCCTCAACACAGCAAGAAGAAATCACGGAGTCCATTGTTAATCAGTACAACACTTTACACTTGGTTTCACGGTGGGTTCTCCTACACTTTCGATTGCTCAGTAGCAGAGAATGTTACGAATAAGGATAAAGGAGAGGAAGAGGATGCATTATTGTCAGTCTGTCCTCCTCCCGGATCACCGCCGTGGAGGAATCGTGTGGGTAGGATTTGGAAGATGCTATTTCAAGTTTGAATTTATTTTAATTATCTTGCTCTTATTTTTATTTTCGATTCAAACGAAATGTTGTTTTGATTGTTTTCTTTATTTCTACTAGCAGAACTCTAGAGTTTAGATTAAGCGATGAAAGGTCTATTACGTCTGTCATTGACTCAATTAAGTTCATTATTGGGTCAATGAGTCATATTTGCTTTTTTGGAGGTGATAGATTCCGAGTCTGGTTCGAGGGCAGACAGTTGAGTATGAGCTTTTTGTCTTTTTGTATCTTGCCTGAATTTTGATTATTTAATATAAGTCACTTTCTTGCAAAAAAAACTATTAATGACTCTGCAATCAAGCCCTTGAACAACAAGACTTGCAAATACACCCATCAACTTATTAAAAATTAATCAATGAAATCCCTTTTACCTGCTGGTGCCGGTAATTTCTCATGAGAAAGTTATCTCTTTGCTTGCATGAGTAGGTCAAAAAAGACGTGATTGCTTAATTTTCAATGAATTGAAGAGTGTATTAACAAATCCTCCAATTTAGTGGTTTGATTGCAGAATTGCAAATAATTAAAAAACTTGTTTTTCTCTTTTCTCGATTAAAAATAAAAGTTGCAGAGTATGGGGGGTCATAAAAATGGATAGATAACAAAGTTAAAAACTCAAAGATGAGAGGAAGCGGTGCAGCTCAGCTGATCGCTGACTCACTCTCCTTTATGGGAGGTCCCGAGTTCAATGCTCAATGGAGTGGGTTTGATCCTAGTTTACCCCAGGCCGTACAGCGAGCATGCGGCTATACGGCTGAGCGGCAACAACGCGGCAAACGGCAGGCGGCGAACAGTGAGAGGCTAGAGGTTAGGGTTGGAGAAAAGGAGTAGGAGGTTAGGATTTTATAGTCATAACCTAAAGGGTATATTAGTCGATAAACATTAATTGTTTAATTATTAATTACAAACTTAATTTAATATTACAAATTTAAATTTTATTTTGGGAAAAAATTAGTTAGGTCATACTCTGTAGATTGAGAAAGTGGGGGAGTTTTAGTCTTAACTAGGATAATTTTCTCTTAAGTAAATAGCTTTAGAAAGTGAGAATAAGTATCCATCTGTCCCATTTTGATTATCTTACCTTCCTTTTTGAATTTTCCCCAAATGAATGTCTTGTTTCTTTTTTTGGTAAGAAATATGTGATCCGTATTATTTCACTTTATTCCACTCAATTCTCTTATTTACAACTTTTATTTTTCAAGCACATTATTACTCCCCCGTTCCATTCAAAGGTTTTCACTTTCCTTTTTGGACGTTCCAGCTAAAGCATTCCAATTTATATTTTATATAACAATTAACACTCTTAAGAAACAATTTACAAATATAAAAAATAATACATCTTCAACATCACAGTTATCATCAATAATTCATTACATTATGCACCCATCAAAATTATTTCTCAAAATATACTCGAATTAGCATGTTTAATATTGTCTATATATTCGTGACATTTTGAATTGAGAACTTTTCAATTAAGACATGGTGTTGTGGCGGCCCTTGGTTTCCTGGGTGCGTCCATTTGTTGAACACGATGGCGTCTAAGACGAGAGAGAAGAGAGTGCGAAACCATTTGACGTAGCAGTTTTAATCACTTTTTTGTCATGGTAGGAATTAGTCATATATTTGTCCACTAAAACCCCATGAGTAATATTTAGGCCATTGTTCATGTCGAGTAAGGTCAATTTAATTCCTGAAGTAAAAATTAAATGGTTAAAATCTCGGTTTTAGCGGGTCAGCATCCGGTCACCCGCCACATCACCAATCAAGTTGTCAACTGTGCATCTAACTTTGAAACTAAAAGCTCAAATAAGTCCCTGAACATGTTCGAATTGTTCAATTAATCCCCCCACCTTGAAAACAGGTTCAACTAGCATTGAGATACCTTCAAATAAACTAGAAAGAAAAATAAATATATTATTATAAGATAGAGTATACATATATATGGTAAACTTATTTATATTTTTTAGTTAATTCAAAATATGGATATGAAAATATAATATAGATGAAAAAGTACTATATGTGGTATTTTACACACAACTAATAACAACGAAGGAAGTATAATACACACAAAAAATGACCAAATATGAAATATAAATAAAATTAAAATTCACAAGTAAAATTTAATGTAGTAAATGTAAGGACTATAATAATAATTTAAGTGTAAACTATTAATGTAAAAAATATACATATATTATCTTTTCATCTTTTTTATATTTTTATATACATATTTTGAATTAACTAGAAAATATATTTTGCCAAATATATCTAAACTCTATCTTATAATTTTTTTATATTTTTTAATTTATTTTGAATATATCCCAATGTTGAATCTTTTTTAAAGTTGAAGGGGTTAATCGAACACTCCAAACATGTTCGTGGACTTATATATATGAGCTTTCAGTTTCGAAGTTAGATGCATAGTTGGCAACTAGACTTGTGATGTGGCGGGTGACCGAATGGCCTGGTGACCCATTCAAACTGAAATTCAAACCATATTTTCCAGATCAGGGTGTGATTTGGACCTTTTATTAGTTCAGGGATCGCATTGAACTTACTCGACAAATAAAAGGGACTATTTGACTCGTTAACCTATACTATATTTTGTGATTCTGTTCTACTCTTCATATGAATATGACTTAGATATTATGTGTGTCATATTATTTTTTTTACATGTTTCTGCATGTTTTTATAAACGAAGTGTGGCTTACAACCGATAATATTGAAATACAACTCCTCCCTTCTCAGGTTGAATCCACCCTATGCTATCTCACAAAAAACACATTGATGATTTTTTCTTATAACAAAGTTCAAAAATAGCAAATATCACCAATTCATAACTCCAATTTTTCTAAATATTTTTAACACAAATCATTAGATTTAATCAATTTGGTCATTTCAGCTAGAATTTCATGAATTTCAAAAGATTGTACTGATTCAGTCAATTTTAATATTACCGAACATACTATTATTTATTAATAAAATTTAACCGGCACGTGAAATTATAAAGTAAAATCAATATTGTTGAAATTTATATCAATAAATGAATAACTAATCAAAACAACAAATTAGTTATAGTTATACTAGTATAAAAAATAGAAGTGTATATTTTTGTATAATCAAAAAAGAAAAGTTAGTTTATACAGAATTCATTATTCATGTTTCCCTATAAAAACACAAGAATCTTATTTTTGTTTTTCAATTCACCTTTTATTTGAAATTTCCATTAATTTATCCGTGCATGGTACGGGTAAATTAGTTAAGAAGCTAAGAAGTAAGAACTAATATCCCTTGGATACTAGTATGCTATTTAAATGTAAGTAAGAAGCTTGATGGCTAAGCTAGCTAAGAAGTAAGTGTTGGTCCCAGTTATATTGGATACAGTCTAGAGAGAGGGGGGGGGGGGGGGGGTGAATAGGCTGTATTGGTTTTTAGCTTTTTAAACTAAGTACCAGATTTTACAGAATAGCCTGTTCTGTTGACAGAACAGACTGGCAGCGGATGGGGTTCTGGTAGGGTGTTCTGTTGATTTAGCCTCAGAGAAGCAAAGGCAGTAGGCCTTCTGTTAACTCGTAGGACAAGTTCTGCTGAACACAGATACCAAGTCTAAGGAGTTAGACAGTTCTATCTAAGTGCAGAAATTAAAGCAGTAAGTAAATGACACCAGAGATTTTTATAGTGGTTCAAGGAACAACTTGTTCCTCTAGTCCACTGTTCCACTAAGCTGTAAAAACTTCCGTTTACAATGCCTTAGCCCTATCACTTAAGAAGCTCTCCACGTCTTCTTCAAGTGTAGATGTCTCCTGGGATGCACTACCTGGCTTCCTTTAAGACTGGTCCTTTCACTGAGCTTCCTCGAAGTATCACCACTTCACTACTCCAGTTACTTGGACGTCCTTCTTGTAGCAAGAAGAGTTTCTGTTAACACAGGGGTTCCTCCAACTAGCTTCGTTACAAATGATTT